CATCTCCAATAAATAAAAAACATAGAGTGCTCAAATATTAATTATCAACCCAAAAATATTATTTATGATTGAAATTAGTTTTGTTTTTTAAATAAATAATGGCAACAACTTTCGTTTGTTTTTTTTTTTTTTTTTTTTTTTTTTTTTTTTTTTTTTGTGAGTTTCATGTTTATATTATAAATCTTTTTTATTCAATAATTTTTTATTTTACTCCTTTTATATATTGTACATTTTAGAACATTATTATTTTGACTATTTTTTTATTTATTTTAATCTCTTAACATTAAATATTGAAGTTGTGATGGTCATATTATAATTTTTTATTTTTAAAACAGTGTAAGGCAATATTTGTTTTTAAGAGAAAAAATGCCTAATTTTTTTTCCATACTTATAGAAGAAGATATGAACCTAAAATTTCTATAAAAATTGTTTTTTTTTGTGCTACTAAATTTATATTTTTTAGACATCTTTGAAAAAATTAAAATATAATTAACTACTTATAATTAATATTTTTTTGAAAACAATACAATTTCAACCAATAAAAATACTTCAGTATATAAGATATCCATATCGAAAAAAAACTATATAGGATATCCATATGGTAAAAGTTTTTAAGACAACTTAAATCTACCATAAAAGACTATACAAAATGACCAGGGTCGGGCCAAGACGATTGGAGGCTCGGGGTAAAATAAAAAATAAGACCCTTTCGAAAGTTTTATGTATTCGTATATTACACTACTTTATACATACATAACAATACATTTAAATTCGTACACAATAGAATGAGGAAAACTAAAAATACAATGGTATTAGAAGTACAAAAATATTAAAGTCTCATCCCCTTTATTTCTTCATTAACTTGTTCAGTTTTGTTCTTGTACATACGTTTTTGACCTCCAACTGAAGTAGATTTATCATCGTCAAAAAGTTGTTAGGTGAATTGCTTAAATCCAGAATACTTGTTGTTAATAACATGGAAGTAGTTGAAAAAATTATTCAACAACAGAAAATTCTATACATATCAAAAACATAGAAATAGAAATAAAAAAGAGTATCATTCATAAATCAAAAATAATAATATTAACATTACAAATCGAAGTTAAGCAATAAAGTTCAAGAACTATCTCTAATTCAAAAATATTAACATTTGAGTATGTCTCTAACTTGAACAACTTCATAAAAATCGAATTTCAAAAAAGAATAAGAAAATTTCAAGAGCGATAGAACATACACAGATTCACAGTCATATTATCATAAATCAATTTTACCTCTAACAGTCGATTCTGCAAACTGAACCTTCAAAATTTTAGAAATTGAGAAAGAAATCCAATTTGAGGCAGTGACTGGAACTCTCGATTAAAACCTCTAGGCCAGATTCCTAAAATAAATCAAATAACATGATTACTTCCCATTGGTGCTATATCAGAAAAAGGAAATCGACAACAAGAAGGGAAACAAAAGAGTTTCCCGTTTTCTGAAATCTTGAAAAGAACGATACACAATCAGTCTCTTAATTCTAAAATAATATTCGATTCACTAACGGTTGTTGTGGACGAATTCAGAAAATCAGAAAAGAATGAAACAAATCGATTAACTTGAAATCTTGAATAAGAAATAGAAGAATGATCGTTAACTATTTCTTTTGAAGAAGACGTCGTTTGGATTTTCCATGACAATGTTTGGATTATCTATAGAAATCTGACTGTTGAAGAGTTACGATGCCTTGGAATTAGGACACATGTCAGGTAAGTCTCATTCTCTCCCACGCTCCATCTTTTGGATTAGTTCCTGATCATAGTATTAGGGTTTGAAATAGTCCAATAGGCTAAAAAGTAATGGACTGTTAATATATAACAAAAATAACAAGTTAAAAATTAGAGACCTGTAGTATTTGAGGGTCCGGGGCGGTCGCCTAGCTTGCCCATGCCCACGGGCCGGCCCTGAAAATGACATACAATATTCTGGGACCTCAGATTTTGGTGTTTAGTGATCAACTTATAGTGATAATAACATAATCACAAACATAAAGTTAAGAGAAAAAGATTATTCGCATCAATCAAAATTTGACTACGCTTCACAATAAAAGGTGCGAAATCACTTCTACATATAACGTGCCAACTTTAACGGAATTAAAACACGGAAGATTTTTTGGTTGAACCTCATCCTTATCAGATATGGACCACTGAACACTTACCTCAATTCATCCATTGTGTTGTTTAAACTTAATGACATATTAATAATAAGTTCAGACCACTCTCTAAACACGATTGCATCATATAATATTGCATATTTATTACACAAACTCCATGGTGACTTGCTTTGTGGTACTCACAGTGTGTACCAATGCTTGTTACACATCTCCAACAACACTTGAAACTTTAGCTTTATAAACTTATCAAAGGATCTCCGCTCTTGTTGAGCAAGGATCAATTATATTCATATGGGTTACAACTGATCTCGTTTAATAAAAGAGATATTATACAAAGATAAATACAATGTTTATTTAAAGTTACAATAGGATTGTTTATCTAATATCCCCCTCAAGCGAACGGGTGGTGGACCGAGGCTAAGCATTGAACGAAAATGTTCAAATTGAGGTTTTGGAAGGCTCTTGGTGAATATGTCTGCCACTTGGAGCTTGGTAGGAATGAACTTGGTATAAAGTTTGCCGGAAGCAACAAGTTCACGAACAAAATGGTAATCCAAATCGATATGCTTGATATGTTTATGAGCAACGAGATTTTTTTTTTTGGAAAGGGATCTTCCCTAACGAGGGTTTCCGGGCCAGCTTTCGCGCACCGACTAATCCCCCGCTGCAAACATAAAGCTTTGCTTCATGCCCTGGAGTCACTGCAGGCGAACCTCCATGGCCACAAGGGCTGAGTGGTGCCAGGATTTGAACATGGGTCAATAGGTTATCCACCATATCTTCCACATGCCTTACCAAGTCACCATAACCCAAGTGGTTAAAGAGAGCACTTTTTGTTGTCACATAGAAGTGTTGGCCGGTCAGATGGTAGGGCATGCAGTTCTTGCAAAAGGTGAGTAATACATACTATTTCTACAGTATTATTAGCCATAGCTCTATATTCGGATTCACAGTTGGAGCGGGATACAATTGGCTGCTTCTTGACACTCCATAAGACCAAATTTCCACCAAGGAAAATAGAGTAACCATAAGGGGGCCATCTTGTTTCAATACATCTAGCCCAGTCAGCATTCGAATAACCAATAATATACTTGGATTGAGGCTTGCGAAAAGTAAGACCAAAAGAGATTGTGCCTTTGACATATCGTAGGATGTGTTTAACTGCCTGAAAATGATAACTGGTGGGTGAATGTAGAAACTGACTAGTTTGATTGACAACATAGAAGAGATCTAGTCTAGTGATTGTTAAATACTGGAGTGCTCCAACCAAGGACTGATAAAGAGTAGGATTAAAAAAGGAAGGTCCATCAAAGGTAAAGAGCTCATGAGCTGCTAAGAGTATGGACAGGTTTCGAGTCAAGGAGACCAGTCCGAAGAAGAACATCTTTGGCATACTTAGCTAGACAGAGAAATAAGCCATCATCAGTGTAGATTACTTCTAAACCAAGAAAGTAACTGAGGTCACCAAGGTCTTTGATGGAAAATTCCCTATTTAAGCGAGTGGTAAAGGAAGTAATGACATCTTCATTGTTGCCGATGAGAATCAGGTCGTCAACATACACTAATAGGTACATAATAATAGAATCTTGTTTAAACACAAAAAGATAAGTGTCAGCACAACTACATGTAAAACCTCGTGTAAAAAGAAAAGAGCTTAGATGGTGAAACCAAGCCTGTGGCGTTTGTTTTAGTTCATATAGAGCTTTGGAGAGTTTGCACACATGATTAGGAAATTGAGTATCTACGAAACCCGTGTTTGCTCCATAAAAAATATCTCATTTAACTTACCATGTAAAAATGCATTTTTAACATCAAGTTGGTGAATGCACCATTGATATTGGTATAGAACTGCTAGAGAAAGAACCATGCGAACGGTGGAGGCCTTGACAACAGAACCAAAGGTGTGAGAATAATCGAGACCAGGAATTTGCTTAAAACCTTGAGCAACGAGACGAGCCTGGAATCGTTCCACGGTACCATCGGATTTGTACTTAGTGCAATAGTCCATTTTGACGTTATGCAAAAACATTGACACATGAATGTTGCATAAAGTGAAATTTAGTTTTGTGGGGCTATAGTACTTGTAACTATGAACGTTATGCAAAAACATCGACACATGAGTGTTGCATAAAGTGAAATTTAGTTTTGTGGGGCTATAGTACTTGTAACTAAAAACGTTATGCAAAAACATTGACACATGAATGTTGCATAAAGTTAAATTTAGCTTTGTGGGTCTTTTGAGGTTCCACATTTGTTAGGTTTTAGGTTTGTATGAAATGAAATACATTTGAATATATTCGTATTTAACTCAGTTTTGTTGCCATCTTTTAATCGAGAGGTTAAATATATTCCTACAAAATGTTACTACTAATCAGATTATTACAAATGTCAAAATCAAAGAATAAGACGAGAACATGTAACAATCATTGAATAGATAACAAGATGAAGTAGGAGGATTAAGTTGGAAACAACTTATTTTTTCCCTTTCAATAACATAATGGGATTTCGGGATTTCTTTGTGGCATGTTATTAAAAGACTTGCAATCAGATTACCCTTTTTAATTTTCGCATTGATTGATTAGATATGTAAAGATCTATGATATTAGTTCACAATCAAATAATAGACTTTAGTTGATTCTAAATATATACAAATCGATTTGTAATTTATGTAATATTTGATTATTTTCATTTGATTATAAACTTATAACATAAGCTCTTAAACGCAACTTGGGTTCGATCAATGTACAACCAAGCAATGCACGCCAAGATCAACTTTAGATTGATTCTCTTAACTTTCTATAACACACACAAGCTACAGAATTCCACCTCACTTATATAAAACACACAATTACACAACCTCTTGATGTTTACCAATTACCAAACAGCCCTTCACCTCTACAGTAGGCAACTCATCGCACGCCTTTCTGTACATTATAGGGGCAATATCGTCATTTACTACCATACACAGCAAAACTCCTTCCAAAGCACTCAAAATCAGCAAGTTGTCAACAGCTTTGGACGACAATACAGTGAAACACAACCAGATTCCGTATGTTCAATATCCTTAGACTCTCTTTCGTCTTTTTTCATATTCTCAGGAGTATTTTGACCCACGAAAACTTTCTTGGGTTCGATAGGAACCACTGGGTCCAGACCCTTGACCGGTGGTCCATGGCTAGGTGCATGTGATGGACCCCCAATGAGTTGGTTAACCATTTCAAGGACCTCACTCATCTTTGGTCTCGCCTTTGAGTTTCTAGACAAACATTTATTGGCTATAATTGACAACTTTTGTGCTGATTTCAATGAGTATTTTCCTTCGAGCCTTGAATCGATGATTATCCGGAACTTTTTGGAGTCTAGATACGGTTTCACCCATTCTAGAAGCTTCTGTTCGTTCTTGGGCCGGTTTTTATCCAATGGGCGCCTCCCCGTGATAAGTTCATATAGGAACACCCCGTAACTCCATACGTCACTCTTGGAATTTAGATGTCCTGTTTGGATGTACTCTGGAGCTGCGTATCCCATTGTTCCTATTACCTTATGATGTCATATCATGGAAATTTTTAGAAATTTTATTACAAAAAAAAAAAAAAAAAAAAAAGTAATTTGGAAAATTTTGGAAGTTAAAAAACTTACAGCGGTTGAGACATGAGTGAATCCTTCTTGAGGACCTAATCGAGCCATTCCAAAATCCGAAAGCTTGGCGTTCCATTTTTCGTCTAGAAGAATGTTGGAAGATTTGAAATCTCGAAAAATAATCTACAAAAATCAAATGTTATTGGTCTTTGTAATTAATTGATTTGGTGGAGTACATGACATTGACATGATATAAATTTGTTAAGGTGTGTGTCACCCAAAAAGGTGATTTATTGAAAATAAACCTAAAAAGCTTGTTTACCTGAAAGTCCATTTGTTCATGTAAATAAGCCAAGCCACGAGCAGCATCTTGGGCCACTTTCAGTCTCATAGTCCATGAAAGAGGTGATTCAGACCTCGAAGATAAATGATCCTCTACACTTCTATTCGGCATATATTCATAAACCAGAAGTCGTTGTATCCCTCTTTCATCATCTTCCGCACAATAACCAACTAATTTCACAAGATTCGGATGCTCAACCACTCCAAGAACATTCACCTCAGTTACCCACTCTTTATGCCCCTATTAATCATCATCAACATATAAAACTAACTTAGGTCATAAATTTAGTCGAATGTGGTCAAATTAAGGTAAATTATACCTGTAATCCTGTTTTTCCTAGCTGTTTGATAGCTACATCGAGTTTTTTGGTGGGGTCTTTAGGGTTTTTGATTGCACCCATGTAGACACACCCGAATCCTCCCTCACCAATCTTGGTAGAACGACTAAAGTTCTTTGTGGCTGCTTTGAGTTCAGAAAATGTGAAGGCTCGAAGATTGTTTGACTTTTGTGAAAAACTAGGAAAATTTGTGCTTCCCATTGATTCTGTGCTAAGATCGGAGACGTTTTGAGAATTTAGATCCGACCCGGATTGTCTCATGTCACGATCTGTAAATATAGAACTAAACGATTGAACCGAAATTGATTTTGTTGGAGTTTTTGGTGATTCGGGTTTCTTTTCGCTGTATGAGGACTTGAAACACTTCATCGCGCTTTGAAATTGTATCTTCCAAACTGTCAAAATTGGAATCAAAATTAAAAAATCGGCATAATTATCAAGAGATATTTGTATAAAAAAAAAAAAGATCAATGAGCGGTAAAATAAAGAACTCTTATGAAGAAAACCTTAATCTGATTTTCCCTGATAAAATTGTAAAACTTGAAAGCGAATCAAGAAATCATTGATGATACGATATAAGGGTTTAATTTTGTTCTTTTTTTTTTTTCCTTAGGTAAACTTCAATCAAAATCTTGAAATCATTAAAACCAACATCCACACTAATGAATTATGGATAAACCACTAGTAAATCAAGAAATTCGATGGCCCATCTCATTAAGAAAAACCCATATCCGGAATTGGTTGATGCAATTCAAATGTTCTAAAAGAGTTCATAAAAATTAGGGTTTTTAATTGTTTCTTAGAGATGAAGATGTGATACCAAGCATGTTCAATTACGAACAAGATTATTGAATTTAAAGCATGTACCTTCAAACTTATTACAAACACTTTCTTTGTTAAATTACCCCAGATTGTGCATAGCATCACATAATAAAGAACTAACACAATCTTTCATGACAAAAAAATCAAAACTTGCAAGAATTTTAAAGAACCCAGATTCAGATATTACAAATTTAACACACCAAAGTCAAAAGACTAGAACTTGAACAAAAGGGCTCACCTTTAATCAGCAAAAAAACCAACCTGATTGGAAAAAAACCAGCTCCCAACTAGTGCCCCTAAATGGATGTTAACCTCAATATGAATAGAAGAACAAAAGGCACATGATGATGAGAGAGATGAAATCCTTTGACTAACCGAATGAAGAAATACTGAAACACTCGCAACTGAAATATGCTAAAGAATTACATTATTCAAAGTCGCGCACATGATTGCCGATGTGGAATGATCTGGTTTGAACTTTGGAAGTGTGAAATGGGTTTTGAATAAGAAACAAAAGTCGAGTGAGACAGAGTGAGGTCTGGATGGCGTAAGATTTGGGTAAGTGAGGTCAACAGGGGAGAATTAATGGGTACGAAGACAAGTAAACCGAAGTATAGACTGTATAATTAATTAGAAGGAAAGGAATGGTGGAGTTTCTTGGAATCTTGGTGCCTATCCATCCTCGTCCTTGTTCCTCGTGTCTTTCCTGCGAGGACGGTAGTCTGTGGGCTCTGGGCTTGTCGTTTTCCTACTTGACCCCCTTTCACTTTCGGGGAAATCCAGCATTCTCATCGATTATTATGTATTTTTTTTATAAAAGTTGTTACTAAGTTGTTATTAAATTATTGTAAGTGGTTACGATGAAAATATATAAAATGTTACAATTTTAAATGGTTATTGTAATCAAGATTGTCAACATCTTAATCTTATCTGTGGATTTTATACATATTAAATGAAATGATTGTAATTAACTAATTATAAGATAGATCGGTATTAAAAAATTCTATCAATATAAACTAGTCACTAAAATTGTTTGTGTGTTGTTTATTCGCTACTTAGGTTATTAAGACATTGACGATGGAATAACTTAAATAAGAACCATAATACAACAATCAACAATTTGAAATAAGAAAAAAGAAACAAAAGTATCATGATCATTTACAATTAAAGATACAAGCTCGCAAAATTATTAATCTACATGTTGCAATGCTCTTCCTAAGTTGACGAGTGGATGAAATTGGTATTTGCTATTAGGGTTTCCTACAATATGCAATGCTTGATGTGAAGTTGAAAATTTTCTCAAGCTTGTTTTAAAATTGAACGAAAAATTCCTTAAGATTTGCATGAGATGTTTTAGCACGAAAGACAAATTTTCCTAGGGATTAGAAGGCTGAATACGAATAAAAACTAAAGAAATGTGATTAAATAGGTAAGGTCTCATGATCTCGGTCGGGATCCTAAGATCCAAGTTCAGACATTACTTAAGAATCGATCCTAGTATGTTTGGGATTTTTTCGCTTGTAGTACCCTTCATTGAAATCTCAATAGTGATGTATCATTAAAATGTTGATATTTTAGTACTCATAAAAAAGTGACTATTAGCTACATTTTTTCTACTTATAGATTCATTCAAGACAAAGTGAAATTAACGTTTCTGAAAGTTCAAACAAATAAAATACCTAAACCATTACGAAGACTATGGTGCTATTTGGTTTTGAAAGGTAACGTATGCAATCTGCAAACTACATCTACATAAGAAGATGTAGACTAAATAAATGCAGTTTGTAAAAAAAATCTATATGTTTTTTAAAACCTGCATGTTGCATAATCGATATTAAATCGCATTGATCATAGATGGAGACAACGATGGTGGTAGTGGTGGAGGTGATGGCAGATGTTGTGGAGATGGTGGTGGTGGCAGAGATAATGATGGTGGTGGGGTGGCGGAGATGACAGTGGTGGCAACTAAGGTAGCGGTGACGATGGTGAAGGTGGTAGAGGTGGCGGGAGAAGTGACGATGATGGTAGAGGTGGTCATGCTAGTTAAGGTGGCGAAGATGGTGGCAACGAAGTTCCTAGTGGTGTAGGTGGCAGAGGGTGTAATGGTGATGAAGGTGGTGGTGGTGTTGGTGGCTACGACGGTAGTTATGGTGGCGATTGTGGAGTTGGTGGAAGTTGCAGAGGTGGTAGTGGTGAAGGTGGCAGGTGTGTGGTAGTGGTTGAGGTGGAGGAAGTTGAGGCAGAGATAGCAAAGAGAATGGTGGTGGTGATGGTGTCATCGCTAATAGTGGAGTTGGCTTAGATGACGACTATGGTGATGGTGGTAGAAATAACGATGATGGTAGGGGATAAGGTGGGGTGCGGGAGATGACAGTGGTGGTAACGAAGGTAGTGGTGATGATGGTGAAGGTGGCAGAAGTGGCGGAGGAAGTAACGATGGTGGTGGAGGTGGTGATGTTGGTTAAGGAGGTGAAGATAGAGGCAGTGAAGGTCAGAGGGGGTAATGGTGGCAAAGGTAGTTGTGGTGGTGGTGGCTACGATGAAAAAGGTGGAAGAAAATAGTTGTTAGAACTTAGAAGAAAGCATGAAAAATAGGTTTGATTTTTAGGGTTAAAACGTTTGTAAGATTTAGAAGACTTTTTCATTCTTCTACAAGAATAGGACACTCAAACCTTTGTAGGTACGAGGTCTTCTAAAAAATAATCAATCTTTAGTACGAAGGTATGCTCGTTCGCAGGAAAAAGAAGTCAAGAAGAACTTCTAAGAAAATAAAACACCACCTATATCTAGTGTCTAAATTTTATATATTGGATTTTGTTATGCTAGTAGCTTATTTTTTATTTTGAAATAATTTTAGCATTAGGATATTGGAATATTAAGTAATGATTTTCTAAGTTATGAGTTAATATACATGGTATGATTGGTTTCATCAACATTAGTATGTTTAATCCATGATTAATTGTAGGTTATTCTTGTCGGATAAGGTGTCTAAGTCCATAACTATTTCTGGTATGTACTTGACCCGACCCGGCATGGTCCATTTGGGTTGCATGGCACCATGCAATTGGATAGACTAAATGAGAGAAATAACACTTGGAGATTATTAATATATTATAAGTTCTAATATATTAATAATATTATTTGATTAGTTTGATCAAGAATTAATCTAGAATTAATTAAGTGATCAAAAGATAACTAATTAAATATATGGGTTGATTATGTAAATCATCCATATCTTGTATAGTGGGCTAAAAGGCTCCATGGACTATCAAGTTGGGTTCCACCCATAGGATGCTCCATGGGAGTTACAAACCCATGGGTCATGGAAATGAAGAGTCATGACACATTAGGGTTTAACCCTAGATGTGTCAACACTATATAAGTAACATGTTCTCCACCCAAAATCGGCTACACTAAGTAATAAGAGGGCTTGGCCGATTTTGAAGAAGTGAGTATTCTCTCATAAGTTCTTCCAAGAGCATTTGGTGTTGTGTGAAGCATTTGAGGCATCACACTTGGGGTGCTAGGCTCACAAGGTTTCAAGGAACACAAACAACAACAAGGTAAGTTATTCTATCTATACTTTATGTTAAAATTGTTCCCCATGTATGCTAGATAGGAATATAACCTTGGAATTCAACTTTGCATGACAATTAGACAAACATAGATCCAAGGTTATTAGGGTTGCATGTACACTTAGGAAGTGTTAGAATGCTCAAAACCCATCAGTGGTATCAGAGCCTAGGCTTGTTTGTTCTTATTTGTGCTTAAAAGTTGAAAACAGAATCGGAAATTTTGCTGTCTGCGAATGGACTCGTCGAGTCCATGAGTATCTTCAACCAACTCGGCGAGTCAGTTTATGCACTCGGCGAGTAGGGTCGAATGAGTGCAGAATTTCGATTCAGTTGCTGGAAAATGAATTAGAAACATTACCCTAAACTGTTTTGGTAATTGAAAACTTGTTTTTGGTGGTGTAATGTCTTTGCTAATTCATTTACAACAACTAGTTATCAAAATTACAAAGTTTTATGTAATTTTTGATTGTGTTCATATTCATGTTCTTGTTCTTATGATGTTTTAGATGATCATAGGAATTATTTGTAACCTATTTGGTAGTTTAATTCTTGATCATAATGTGTTTTAATGGAGTCCATAACTTATCCTTAAGTTATGGAAAACCAAGAGTCACACTTGAGTTAAAACCATTAAGAAAACACAAGAGTTAGAAAAATGAAGAGTCTTCATTTTATTACTCTATTAAACTCATAAGTTACAAGAAATGAAAAGTTTTGAAAGTTACAAAACTTGCCCTCAAGTTTTGGAACAAGTAAAGTTAAGTTAAAACTTTAAGTTCCAACCCCTAGAATTTTAAAAGTTAAAATTCAACCCTTATACTTATATTATGATGATTTAATAATTATATATATATATATATATATATATATATGTATAAGAATAAAGTCGTCTTACCGCTAGTACGCCTCATTCACGAAGCCGGTCTATAAGGTGGGTATAAGGTTGTTGCCTATAAAATGGTGACTTAATGGGTGAATATTCTCACCCACCGCTTGCTTGACTGGTGGAGGGTCGTTAGCCGAACGGGTAAGACAAGGACTTATAAATTCTCATTCAAAGTATGATGAATATAATAAAGTAACTAAATTTTATTAAATTCCCAATCTTAGTTACTTTAGGAAAAATGTGAATAAGGTGCTAATCCATGAAATTACACTTTACACTTTGTCTAAGTCGTTGGTGGAGCGTGTGTGGTTAACCGGCACACTAACTTGGACTTAACAAGGTAGGTAAAGGGTGACTTAAGGTTTATTATAGTATCGGTGGAGCGTGTGTGGTTTACCGGCACATCGATTGAGTGATAAACTTTAAGGGTACCAAGTGATTTGCATGGTTACTTCACACCTCGTTTTGTGATCCTCGGCATCCCAGTCACAAAACCTGGAGGGCACTCCCGAGATTGAAACATGCCTTTGAAAAGTTCATTGGATCTCAAAGAATCTAGGAATTTCTAAAACCAATAAAAACTAAATATCTAATATTTCGGTTTTCGTGGTGGAAATTGGTGAATCGTCATTCACCTACCTTTCAAATATGGTATAGCTTAGATTACGGCATACCTCTTCTAAGTTATATTATATTGTGATTGGATCCTAGCCTTAATATTACATTTGGGTGTTTTATTAAGGACTCTCTTAAATCTAAACTAAACTTGTTCTTCTCTTTCAGATGTCTTCAAATAATGCTTCTGGCTCGAATCCTAATGGCTCCTTTACTCTTATGAGTTTGTGGGGAAAGTCACCTTTGATGGATCCAACTTCAATAAATGGATCAGAAACATCAGGATGATTACCCGCTACGAGGACAAAGAATATGTCCTTGACAAGGAGCTTAAGGAAATTGACGAGTCCACTGCAACTCCCCAGGAGATCGCTGACTTTCATACTCATGAAAGAGATGCAACCAAGGTGGCTTGCATCATGTTGGCCACCATGACAGCTGAACTCCAAAAGTCTTATGAAGATTTCTACCCTTATGAAATGCACCAAGATTTGATGGAAAGATACCATCAAAGTGCACGACAAGAGAGGTACGAAGTCATCTGCTCCATGATAACAACCATGATGAAGGACGGAGAGTCCGTCACGAGCCACATGCAGAAAATGCAAAGGTATGTGGATCGTTTGCTGAAGCTTAATGTGAACTTCCCTGAGGAGCTTGCAATAGATATCATTTTGCACTCCTTACCATCGTGCTATGATCAATTCCGCATGACATATCACATGAACAAGGAAGAGGTCACCCTCAGCAAACTTCAGGGACTTCTCAAGACCGCAGAAACAGGTCTTAAGGGGAAGTCGGTTGCTATCACTCCTACTCCAGACTCAACTCCGGTCTTGGCAATCGGGCAAAGTCGAGGGAGGAAGAGAAAGAGATCTTCGAAGGGTACCAAGGCTCGGACCCTTGATGGCTCTTCTTCAAGTGGAACCAAGAAAGGTTTCATTACTCCTTCTTCTGACCCAAAAGAGGCTGAATGCTTCTATTGCCATGAAAAAGCTCATTGGAAGCGGAACTGCCCAAAGTACCAGCAGATGTGAAGGATGGGAAAGTCAAACCCAACCATGCAGGTATTTACACTATCATTTCTAATAACTCACCCCATTCGAAATCTTGGGTCCTTGATACCGGTTGCGGTATTCATATTTGTTGTGACTTGCAGGGACTAGGAAGAAGTGAGAATGTGGAGCAAGGAAGAATAAACTTAATCATGGGGAATAGGAAAGTTACACCTGTCACCAAGATTGGAGTTTATACTTTATCGCTAAGTAG